TCCCCATTTATCTGCGATGCAACAGCCAGGATTCCATAGGATGCAGCCATGGCAGGTAAAGTGCTGTATTGTTATTGTGGTGGTGGTGGTGGTGTGTTCAAGTTGTTTCTGATTTATGGCAACTCCAAGACAGACCTAGCATGGGGGTTGCTTGGCAAGTTTCTCTAGAGGGGGGTTGCCATTGCCTTCCTTTGGGGCTGAGAGTATGTGACTTGGCCAAGGCCACCTAGTGGGTTTCATGGCTGAGCTGGGGATTGAGCCCTGGTTGTAGTCCAACAATCAAACCACTCTTATAGTGCTATAATTGTGCAATGTGAGAGGGCACTAGGACACAAACCAGTGAGTTTAAATTTCAAGAAAAGTGATTCCATCTAAACATTAGGAAGAACTTTCTGATGGCCAGATTTGTTCAAGAGTGGAATTGACTGTCTTGGAGGGTGGTAGAGTCTCTTTCTTTGGAAGTGTTCACACTGAAGTTAAAGGGCATCTTTCAGGAGTGCTTTAGTGGTGTATTCCTGCATGGCAGGATGGCCCTTGGGGTCCCTTCCAATGCCATGATCCTGTGATCCTATGGTGGGATCATTTCCATTTCTCCTTAAAAACTCTATTTTAAAGTCATGAAACTGAAACATCAATTTGAAAAGAGGGAAAGAACATAGAAATGAAGGTCCCATTGAAGGAGGCTAAGCTGCCGCTGCAATTCAGGCCTGGAGTATTATGTGAAATTAATAATGGCAAACAATGTCCTCTATGATGGGCAGGACTTTCAGACAAATTATAATCCCAGCATTTTTTCCTCTTTGGGTAATAAATGGCACTTTACCTTCCAGTCCGTCTGCCTTGTTTGTGCGATGCCATGGAGTAACAAATGCCTCTCTGTGCTCCTTTAATATCTTTATTTTTAATCACTGCTGCCTGGTGATCCTTCATTTCTATGGCTTGTTTAGCTTGCAAAGCACTGTGAAATTCCTCCCATTCATCCTCACAACAGCCCTGTGAGGCAGGTTGCTCTAATGGGAAAAGGCATAAAAAACCCTTGAGTTCCTTGTTGCTTTCTGGTGCTTAATGTCTCATTCCAGCATTTTGCTAATAACATAATTGCCCACAATATATTAAGCGAGCAACTTTGATTATTGTGGTTGCATTTTCTGTTACAACTTTAGGGGCCGTCTGCCATCCCTCTGGGAATGAATTCAGCCGAGGCTCATAATTATATTTTAGCCCATGAAAAATGAGATTATTAGCCCTGTTTTCTTTTTTTAACCAGGGGGAATAAAAAGTTATTTGCCTTCCTTGGGAATTTCCAGATTTAGTTATCACTTAAGCCTGCCAGGACTTAAACTGCAAAGAGACATGGCAAAGTGGGGGTGTTTGACTGCAACCCCTATCTTCCCCATTAGCCACCATAGTCGGGGTGGGGAATGCTGGGAGTTGCAGTCCAACAATATCTGGGAAGCTGATATAGAAGCTTTTCAAATGTAGGACCCAGGGATGTAAATCCTTAACTACTCCACCTTAATATGTATCGATAAATAATTACTGCAATTTTGCTCCTCCTGAAGAGACAGCAACTATTTTTGTACAGTGTTTTCCCCATGAAATCCAGCATGGTTTAATGGTTTTAGTGTTGGACTTGGACTCTGGGGATCAGGGTTCAAATCCCTGCTCAAATGTGTAAACCCATTGCTACACTGCTATTTTGCTTAGGATCTTTTTTGGTTTTCTTTTTGGTGGTGGTATGTTCTAAAATTTGTTTGCTATGTGCAGAAAGAACTGTAAAACTACAGTCCAAACCTCACTTGGGTTGATATATACAGTCTAGATCCAAATGTGCCAGAGAAATGCATTGTGGAAAAGGTCTGAAGCCCAGTGCTTAGGGGGAAAATCATTTTGTCTCCAGAATTCCCTGTGACAAGGCTGTCTGAGACATTTTGGTGAGTCAAAGTTCAGAAATGTAGCATGATGTGCAAGATGTACAAGTGAACTATGCCATATTCTGCAGAAGAGTCACTAATGTTGGCAGCTGGTGATGTCCATGTCAGTGAAGCAGTGTGTACTGGACTCTATTGCTAAAATAGATTTAGCACCTTGGACAGCTTGTTCAAAGTCAAAGGAGCACCGGAAGGTACCTGTCCTGCTCTCCTACTGCATCAGCAGGCAGGGTGCCAGAAGCTTAGAAGCCAAAGGAGCAAGCAGTATCCGTAACCACACAGTCCAGAGTCAGGAGCTGTAAATCCTAAGCAGAATCACAGGTAGCAGATAACAAGATCATGAAACAATCCAGGATCATCAATCAGAGAGTCAGATCTTGCTGTAAATGCAGGTTTGAGACAGAAATCAAGTTTGTTTCCAGCACCCAAAAGGGAAAAAACCCTTGACTTATAAAGCACATTGATTCAGTGCCACCCAACTTGCAGACTATTTCAGGAGTGGATTTCCCTGTTGCAAGCATGGAGCCTCTCACTTGGCTTGCAAAGGAGGGACTGTGAGTCTGTGCCAGATGCTGCAGCCTTCACCTTTCTTGAGGAGTTAGGGCTATCTCTCCTACCTTTTCTTCCTGTGGAGCACGCAGGTGGCTGTTGGGCATGGCTGTGGCAAGTCTACTTCATTTTCAGAAGTCAAACTCCAAGGGGAGGCCTGATGGATAGGTCTGCTTATTCCTCAGAGGCTGAACTCTCAAGTGGGGGCATGATAGTACCAACACTATTGTGGGGATAGGGCTCAGCACCTTCAGCAGTTCCCCTCAAAGTTTGCACTTAACCCCAGAGGGATTCATCTCTTTCAATTACCATCCACTGCTAGATAACATGATACAGGAACTGGTAGGCAGCCTTTTTTGGATGATGACAGGCTTGGAGCCACAGAATAGAAGAAAACCTGAAGAACCAGCACCCAGATTTTGCTCCTATACAAGAGCCACGAGAAACCCAGGGATCAGGGAATGAAATTCTTGTGTTTGAGAAAGAGAAAGAACGAGAGACAGTGCAAGTTGAAAAAGTGCCATAATAATATTAATAAAGATGTAACGATGTTTTGGTGGAAAGGCTTGCTGATTCAAACAGTTAATTAAAATGCACTAAGGGAAAAAATCTATACAGAGTGAATTAATCTCATCTGCAATTATCTAGCCCATTCCCAGCAGCCCCGCCGATGTCATGAATCCAAGATAAGGCTCTGTCCCAGCTGCAGCCTCGGTGCAGCCGATGCTACTGAAATATTCCAATCTTGTTTCCATAATAGCTTCTGTCACTGTTACTGACAGGCTGGGCATTAAGTCTTTGGCAAAATTGTAAGGATTATTAACATGCAAGGTTTTCATATCCTTTGACAGCTGTCTTCTCCCTCGGGATTCTGGGCAACTGATTTGGATCTTCCTCTCCAGCCTCTGTCCTGCCTTTATCTCCAAGAGTTGAGTCCAGTAGTTCCATCTGTACTGGTTTGGCTTGGCCACAGAGGTAGGTAGCCGCTTTGCTAGCCAAATAAACCTGTCCTGGCTCATGACTCAAGGTGCATGTACTCTTGTAGAAATAATGCAGTTTGACACATTTTAAGAGCTGTAGCTGCATCCGAGGGAATCCTGGGATCTGTAGTTATAACAGGGTCATTATACTTCTCTGCCAAAGAATGTGCATGCCTCACAAAACTACAAATTCCAGGATTCTGTAGGATGGAGACATGGTAGCTGACATGTTTTAGCCTGAACTTTAAAGAAACTGTTCAAAGTGGTGAATCCAAAACATATTAAGCACCTGAGGTAATCTGTTTTAAAGTTTTGAATTTATTTCTGCCATTGGCCATGGGGGCCTCATTGCTTCAGTCCTGGCCATTCATTTCACCTCCTGGGTGGCTATCTGTCACAGGAATGTGTCTTCCTGCACGGCAGAATGGAGTTGGATTGGATGGCCCTTGGGGGTCCCTTCCAACTCTTGATTCTATGATTCCTTCTTCTGCAGAGTACTACTGAGTTCCTGTTGCATCCAAACTGCTTCTAATCTGGGATTGCAATTGGTGAAAAGACACATCTTGGGGAGGGGAGGGGAGGGGAGGAGGTCTGGCACAGAATCCCTTCCTTACCAAAAATGTCCTGGAGGCATGTTGGATTCACATTAATCTGGTGAGGCTATTGATTCCACCACACACGGACACACAAAATACACACTCTCTGCCACCCTGCAGAAAACAAATCCTCAAGGAATATTGCAGAAAGCAATAACAAATCTATTAAGGCTGCCCCCGGTGCTTCCCCAGCTGGAGAATGCAAACATCCCCAGGCCCTGCGAGAACCAGGCACTTCTTGGGCTTTTAATAGATAAAGAAAGGCAGGTGGGGGCCTCCCATCGCCGTCTTCATCTTTGGTGCAGGAATGCTGAGCCGCCTGGGTCAGCCAAACAGGTGGCACCTAATCCACTTCTCTCTAGTTACTCCGGCAGTGGCCCTGTTAAACGGAATGGGCTATTGATTTCTGTCTCACTTCCAGCCAATGTATTTTCCATCACGGCTCTGAGCAGAATAGAAGAAAAGCACTCCTTATTAACTCTTCTGCCATTCAGAGGAAGAAGGGAGAGGGAAGCAGGGAGCAGGAGGGGGAGGTCAGGGAAGGGAAGGGAAGGGAAGGGAAGGGAAGGGAGGGGGGATCCTGGAGGGGTCAAGGCTGGGAAGAATTCTGGCCCACGGCTTGGACTGGTTCTGGGGTGGACTGGCCACTATAAGCTGGGTCCCTCTTTGGCTTCCTTGGAGCCATTCAAGAGCCTAAATCAGTGATTCCCAAATTTTGGTCCTCCAGAAGTTTTGGACTTCAATTCCCAGAAGCCCCATGCAGCTTGGCCAACCATCAGGATTTCTGGGAGCTGGAATTCAAATCATCTGGAGGACCAAAGTTTGGGAACCACTGGCCTAAATCACATACAATGGGTCTTCCATATTTGCTGTGGTTAGGGATGCAGGACCCCCATGTAAGTGGAAAAACCATAAATAAAAACCTACTAATTTTTCTTAATCAGAAAGAACACCTTTCTAGGAATCTCTAGGTCCTCCAAAGCTACTCTATGGTCAACTGGAAGCTGGAGGTTGACCATAGAATTGTGCTGGAGGACCTTCTCTCTAGAAACTTCTACGTCTTCCAGTGCAACGTCTGGTGAAAGTTGGCCATAGAGTCATGTTGGAGGACCTAGAGTTTCCTAGAGAGAATATATTAATCAAGTCCACAAAAGTCAATGTGGATGGTCCACTGTACAAGGCAATGCAATACAATGCTCATAGGATTGTGAATGAAATCAGTTGGCATTATGGGGCATGGACAGGCTCACAAGATGCCTGACCTATAGAGGGTTTTCTTTCTTCAGAGCTCCACTGCATAAGGTCTTGGTCTTGAGAGGACACTTTCCTTTCCAATGAGCAGGTAAACGTACATCATTCTATTTTGGAGAAACTTGTTGGGCAATAAGGAAGGAATGATCGGCGTGAGGATCTAGTTTGCCACCAGCTGCAAGGAGAGCCTGGCTTCCCATCTGCTGAAGGACCTGAATGCTAGTCTTTCCTCTGAAACACCTGGTGCATCCATTATTTACATGCCAATAAAGTGCATTTTGCACCAGTGACATCTGCCAGTCTTGGTACCAAAAAAATCTTTTGAGATGCTTAGGAGTAGAGCCAGCTCCACTCCTAGCTCCTAGCTCCATCTGGGCTAAATGGATCCAGCCCAGAACACCAAATGTCTTCATTTAGGGACCTGGGAAGCTGTCCATGTCCTGGGAGGGAACTAGTCCATTGGTCCATCTGGTTCAGGTTTCAGCAACCTTGACTAAAGAAGGATGCGCCTCTAACCACAGCATTGTCACACACCGCTCTGATGCTGTCTACCCTTTTCAGCTTGCAAAGAATCATATTGCCAGCCTGGGCAAGAGAGGAACTACAACTGCAGTGTTGTGCTGTTTTGTCATGAGACAGAAGCCACCTCTTCATGCCATTTCATGTTTACAGAAGCACATCAATGGCTCTGGCACATGGCAGCACAATGCCAGCATCTTTGCCTGCACAAATTGGTTTTGCATGCTGTTTGTGTCTGGGAAGTGCTTTTGGTAAAACTGGATTACAACGGAGCTACTCGTGCTCCTGGAATGGTAACCATTAAGTTGTGTGCCTTGGGGCAGCTTCCTTATTCTTTGGCCCCGATGCAGACTTCGAACGCCACAGAAAGCTTCAAAAGGGCCATCCTGCTCTGTGGGAAACAGAAGAGATAAAGAAGCAAGAAATATAAAGTCATTTTTTGCTTTTAACCTGGGAGTCAATTGACTCTTGTTGGAAGTTCCTGGTAAAAACTGGAGCGTGACTCAGAAAATTCCCCTCCAGGATAAACTCCTGAGCTTCAGCTCCTTTGCTGCACCTCCCCTCTCCATCCTGTTTGCTCTTTTTCTTCTTCTGCTTCTTCTCCATAAAGCTCTTCACCATAGATGGCAGCATCTGACAGCTCTGGAAATATCCCTGTCAGGAGAGCAACCGGCTGTGGAGAGCATGGCGCATGCAAAGGAAGGGGGAAGGCAAGGCAAGGGCCCTGAGAGAAGTGGCAGGTGAACAGGTGGCTTGGAACTGGCCAGGTGGCTACTGGAAGCAAAACATCCTGGTCCTGAATCCTGTTGGTGTATGTTTCCCTACACAAAAGCTTTGTATTTTGG